AAAAAAAAAAAAAAAAAAAAAAAAAAAAAAAAAAAAAAAAAAAAAAAAAAAAAAAAAAAAAAAAAAAAAGTAGTGCTGGAAGTTTCCAGCACATTCTGTTCTCTCCCTTTGCTCCACCTGCCCAGCTGCTGCTTTTCCTTAGCTCTCAAATAACATCTGAATCACAGTGCTGTGTCTGCAGCCCAGCACAGGGATCTCACAGAGGAGAATCCCCAAGAAGTAACTCCTGAGCAAGAGACTGAGATAAAACAGCCAGAAAACAAAGCTCTTGACCTTCTGCAACAGAAAAGAATAATAAAAAAAGCACAGACTTTGGAAGCATTGCAAAATGCTTGCTCTGTAAAATATTTCGCCTCCCTGTCCTTTTCTGCTTTACCAAGAGTCAGGCCTGCAGGTGGGAGTGATCTGTGGTTTTATAAGGAGAAGGCAGATATTCAGCAGCACATTCTTCATAGCCCATGTTGTCCATATTGTCACATATTCATGGCTCATTAGGCTCTCCTGCCTCTGCTGTGCTGCATACCCTGGTGGTCTGTCATGTCATGGAGACAGTGAAAACGTGGCCTTGCTAATCCATGGGGATGGCTTTTTGCCCCCCAGCAAACAGAGAACCTCTGTCACCTACCTACAGCACCAAACTTGCAGCTTTTCATTCAGCCCAGAACACAGCAGTTTGCCTATTAAAATACTCTGGGACATCCTTATGGTACGTTTCTTAAAAAAGCTGTATTTTTTTTACAGCTGTTTAAAAATACTCTGCTCTGAGGTTTTAGTCACTGATGGTTTAAAATGCATCCTTCCAATGCATACTTAATCTTAGATTATTTAGTAGCAAAACTGACAACGCTGTATAAATTTTAACCACATGGGAAGTGTCAGATCCTCCCAGAAGGGAGCATCAAAATCTACAGAGAAGTGAGGAAGTTCTGTGTGTCTGTAATGCAGGTTTCCAAAATCATAGGGAAGTAAGTGCACAATTTATAAGTGCCTGTGAGAGCTGAACAACCCTGCACCCGAGATTTGGTTTCCATTTCCCTCCCCCTGATTAGAAAGCAGAGAACACAATGCCAAGAATACCTGCAGGGAGAGTATACCCAAGTGTAAGTGGAAATAATGTCAGAGCTTCATTAAAACATATATAGAAAAAAGAAATACTCGATTGCAAACCAACCAAACAAAATAATAAAAGCCCCCCCAAACAAAACAGTAAGCCCACAAGCACCTAATGTCCAAATGCAAGAACCTGAACCTGTGTAAGGAGAGAGGTTGTCTTTTTCCAAAAAGAGTGAGGCAGCTGTGTAAGCAGGCTGAGTCTTGCAACTTACACTGCTTCTAAATCCAGCATGAAGCAGGGAGCAAACAATGTCAAATGTCAGCTTGCTTTCACCAGAGGAAAGAAAGGGTCATAAAGCAGAGGATAGGGCTGGTGAATCTCAGCTTTGATGTGCAGTCCCACGTGAAGATTGCACTGCCCATAAACACTGGGGTGTTTACGAGGTAAAAAGAGACTTTTTAATGTACTTGGTGTGTCTTGGCTTTGTTGGGTGTGTTATTGAATTTTATAGGACAAGCTGCTCTCAGAGGTTCCTTTTTTTCCCACAACGTGGTTCTGCACTGCTAACTCCAGGAATCATAACTTTGGATTTCATCTGGGCCGGTCGTAGTTCTGAAGAGGGGTGTTGGGTTGCAGAGCTGTTTTCCAGCAAGGAGACCACAGCTTATAAAGGGGGGATTGCAGGTTGATGGTTTAATATCCCCTCAACACCAGCTTTACAGATCGGGTCAGCTTTCCAGAGGGGTCTGTGATGTTTGAAGCTGTCTTTGGGTCCTACTGCACATCGGTCTCTTTCAGTGGAAGCCACCTTTGCCTTCCCTTTCTCACCTGCTGGTGTTTTAGCCTGTGGCTGCTTGATTTCAGAAACGAGCCTACAAAAGCTACGTGCGGGCCCTGCCCATGCTGAAGAAGATGGGGGTCAGCTCCATCCTCCTGCGCAAGACCATCGGCGCCCTGGAAGTGGCGTGCGGCATC